ATGAGTGATAACAAAAGAATATTTTGTTTGTTTGTCTCTTTGTTTGTTTGGATGTTTGGGTTTTGTTGCCTCTGTTCAAATGCTTGTTTTACCTGTCGCCGAAACAGCTGGTCCTTTTTCGGAGTTAGATGTTTGTACATTTTCTTATAGACTTTCCAATGAAAAAAAAAAAGATATATTTTCTATTAATTTATTACAATGGCACTAAGACAACTAAATTGCAGACATATGAAGCATTTTTACTGGAGCTGAGCATTGTCCAGGTTGTTAAGGAGGTTGGCAATGTGTCTTTTCTGATAATYTGCTTTGCACTTGAAAGCTCTCCATGTCCACAGACCGTGGTGCTGCGGTGACTGTCAGGTTTATGAYGACAAGAGCTCTTGGGATGTTGTTTCCAAAAGATTGTGGCTTACGACTGAAATAACACGTAGTTGTTTGGAGTACACAGTGTTCATCAAAATAAATACTCGGTGCAAATTTCTTATTTTATTTTTGTCTCCCTGCTTATTTCAAAAGATAAACCCCCACGGGGATGTGCAGGTTCTGTGTGCATTTAGTGGTCAGTGCACACAGATCACGGCACATTTCAGTGCCCAGGAGCGAGGGAGGGAAGGGAAGGGGATGGGAAGGGGATTATTGCAGAGGGATTATTGCAGAGGGCCTGTATTTGGGGCAGGACTATGGGATGACAGGCCAGGAAAGGGGAAATGCAGGGTTCATTCATTCCAGGGGCTCAGAGGGACATGAAGAGGGTTCCTCCCTCCTCTRCTGCCAGCGCTGATCACGGCTGTGCCACTGCTGCTGTCTGTGAACGTGGATTTGGGACCAGGGAGGAGGTGAGTAATCTGTTACCTGAGACTGAAAACATAAAATTATAACTTATTTTAATATGGCTAATAAAATACACTTTAATATGTTTTTAAAATATATATTTTAATATGTGGATTACATATTATAAAGTAATAGAAATTATTTAAAGGGTTTATAGACCAGAAGAGAATGGAATCGTTTAACTTGGAAAAGAGCTCTAAGGTCATTGASTACAACCRTCCTAACMAAGCATTCCCAATCCCACTGCTAAACCATGTCCAGAGGTGCCACATTATAATATATCATAATCTATTTTAGATGTATAATAAAGATTATATCAGATTATTATAGCATATCAGATATTGTATATATATTGCATATTATATCATATTATATTATACTAAGTTATGTTTATTATATTATATGCTAAATCATGTCCAGAAATGCCACATTATAATAGATATTTTAGATGTATAATAAAATGTAACAATTATATCACATTATATCATATCATAGCATATCAGATATCATATATATTACATATCATATATATATTACATATTAT